CCATATTGAAGAAACATTACCATGAAAGTATTTACAGAAAAGGCACAGAGAGGCAACCTTACAGTGGTGGGAAAGTGACTGAAGCTAAGCTGCCAGATCAGGGCTAATTTATTGCTGATTCTTCTTTGGATTTTATCAAGGAGCTAAAAGGTAAATAGCAGGGGAACCAGACCATATGTGACAGCAATATTCTAAGCATAGATAGATTGATGGATTTATAGATATGTAAGATAGATTCTGAAGAGAAAAATTGTCTCACATGACACAGTGAACTGACTTTCATAGCAGCTGACCTAGCAATGGATTCAATATAGTCTTTCTGCTTCATGTCAGCTGAAACTTAGCCCAAGTAGGTGCAACGAGTCACTTTCCTGGAGGTTTGGTTTATTTTGTTTAACGGCATATCAAGCTCAATGGGTTATTTAATGCCAACAACATTTTTAGGATAGATTCATATGAATAGAATATGTATTCTTTCATTTAGATTGGTTTGGTTTATTTTGCTTAACAGCATATAAACCTCAATTGGTTATTTAATGCTGACAACATTTTTAGGATAGATTCGTATGAATAGAGTACGTATTCTTTGGCTTAGATTGGTTTGGTTTATTTTGTTTTACAGCATATCAACCTCAACGGGTTATTTAATACCGACAAATTTTTTTATTGCTGGTAATATTTTGTTTTCTCAAAAATCTGTTTCTGGTAATATATTTCTTTCAAAATTGTATTGCTGGTAATAATTTTTTCAAAAATGTATTGCTGGTAATAGTTAACTATTTTCCCATAGCTGGGACCCTAACAGGTGCTACCACCCCAGGTCAGGGTGAAACTGGGAAGACCAGCAATTAAGAGGTGGTTCCACGCTCCTCAAAACCTCCTTGCTGCTGGATGTAGTTTAACATCTTACCCAGGATGCAGATCTAGTTTAACGTCTTACCCAGGACGGCACTTTCCTGAAGGTTAGCATTAGTTAAAAAAGAATGATGTAGTATGAAAGATAGCAATATTATGAACTTTTTATTAACCCTACAATTAACAAGATACTTGGCCTTCAATTGTCAGCAATATCTTTAATTTCTGGTTGGTATCAACTTGTTGCTACTCTTTAAATTCTTTTAAGTGTTCATCAGTCAAACCTGTTAATCTTACTCTTTTTTTAACACTGTAATTGTCATTACTAAAGGATATCATTTTGAGTCATTTTCTTTGCAGCCTGTATAAAAATATTGCTTCATTGCGCATGTGCTGAACAACACTGATCAAGAATAATCCAGTTAAGATTCAAGAGGAATTAACAGTTACTCCTCCACCTCTTGTAATTTTACTTCCTGTATTGAAAAAAAATTTATTTTTAAATGTATTATTTTTTTTTTTTTTTTTTACTTTTCAAATTTTCTTTTAAAAAAAAAAGAAGAAAATGAACTGGATATTGTTAAATTTTAGCATAAATAGTTTAAAAAACCTTGAAATCATTTCTATTTTTTTTAAATCAATTCACCCCAAGCAAGGTAATAATGCCACTGAGATGTAAGGAGATATTGCGAGTGAAAGATAAAGAGAAGGCTTTAGAAGGAACTGGAAATGCAATCCTAAACAAGAAATATGGAATAAAATTCTACTCCTGTTCAAAAGACCAGAGAGGAGTGTGGACCAAACGAGATATATCTATGCCTATTTAAAAGATATTTAGAAAATAAATTAATAAATGCCACTTTTTTTTACCCACCTTCCAAAAATTTGATAAACTTTTTTCATTAAAAGATTGATTCTATTTAATAATATATATCATAGGAAATGGATTAAATCCAACAAATATTTAATATATTTTCTGTTTAAATGTTATTTTTTATAGATACACTTATTTAAGTAAATGCTTTGTTCTTTAATTAATCAATATTAATTCAGGCCAGTAAATGCAATTTATACTGTTTAATTAAAGAACAGAGCATTTATTCAAATAAGTGTATCCATAAAAAACAATAAACGGATAATATAATATTTTTAAAATCTTTTCCTGTCCACGTCTACCTCCACCCAAATTTTAATGATACTGAAGAAGATTCATAAAGAATGATTCTTTTTTTTTCAAAACACATGTATTTTTGCCTGTTATGTGACAGTCAAAAATGAATTATATTGCATATTGCATGTATATAAGTCAAAGTGTCTTTGCCATAAGACAATGTATAAATGTAAGCATGAACAGAAAATAATTCTACCAATTTACTAGTAACTTAATTTAAGAAAAAAATATCAAAATAAATTAAGATGTACTAGATTTATATCTTGTTTTTGTTTTAATTTACAGCAGAAAAGATACTGCATTTGTTCATTCTCATTCCAAGAGTTGTTTTTGTTATTACCATATTTTATTTAATCTGTGCCTAACTTCTATCATTTTGAGAAGAGTCATTATCATTCCAAGAGTTGTTCAGACTATTGAACTCATTCTTTGTATTGCATTTGTTGTTACCACAATGTTTCAGTCAATCCATTCTACATCTACCTTCTATAATTTTGAGAAGAGTCATTATCATTCCAAGAGTTCTTCAGACTATTGAACTCATTCTTTGTATTGCATTTGTTGTTACCACAATGTTTCAGTCAATCCATTCTACATCTACCTTCTATAATTTTGAGAAGAGTCATTATCATTCCAAGAGTTCTTCAGACTATTGAACTCATTCTTTGTATTGCATTTGTTGTTACCACAATGTTTCAGTCAATCCATTCTACATCTACCTTCTATAATTTTGAGAAGAGTCATTATCATTCCAAGAGTTCTTCAGACTATTGAACTCATTCTTTGTATTGCTTTTTGTTGTTACCACAATGTTTCAGTCAATCCATTCTACATCTACCTTCTATCATTTTGAGAAGAGTCATTATCATTCCAAGAATTCTTCAGACTATTGAACTCATTCTTTGTATTGCTTTTGTTGGTACCACAATGTTTCAGTCAATCCATTCTATGCCTACCTTCTATCATTTTGAGAAGAGTCATTATCATTCCAAGAGTTCTTCAGACTATTGAACTCATTCTTTGTATTGCATTTGTTGTTACCACAATGTTTCAGTCAATCCATTCTACATCTACCTTCTATAATTTTGAGAAGAGTCATTATCATTCCAAGAGTTCTTCAGACTATTGAACTCATTCTTTGTATTGCTTTTGTTGTTACCACAATGTTTCAGTCAATCCATTCTACATCTACCTTCTATCATTTTGAGAAGAGTCATTATCATTCCAAGAGTTGTTCAGACTATTGAACTCATTCTTTGTATTGCATTTGTTGTTACCACAATGTTTCAGTCAATCCATTCTACATCTACCTTCTATAATTTTGAGAAGAGTCATTATCATTCCAAGAGTTCTTCAGACTATTGAACTCATTCTTTGTATTGCATTTGTTGTTACCACAATGTTTCAGTTAATCCATTCTACATCTACCTTCTATAATTTTGAGAAGAGTCATTATCATTCCAAGAGTTCTTCAGACTATTGAACTCATTCTTTGTATTGCTTTTGTTGTTACCACAATGTTTCAGTCAATCCATTCTACATCTACCTTCTATCATTTTGAGAAGAGTCATTATCATTCCAAGAATTCTTCAGACTATTGAACTCATTCTTTGTATTGCTTTTGTTGGTACCACAATGTTTCAGTCAATCCATTCTATGCCTACCTTCTATCATTTTGAGAAGAGTCATTATCATTCCAAGAGTTCTTCAGACTATTGAACTCATTCTTTGTATTGCTTTTGTTGTTACCACAATGTTTCAGTCAATCCATTCTATGTCTACCTTCTATAATTTTGAGAAAAGTCATTATCATTCCATTAAGTGTTTTTTTTAAAACAGATCAACTACAAAAAGAATTCAATAGATTATCTGTTACTGATCAGCCCATTTCAAAAGTCAAGTGGGTATTCTGTCACCTTTCCTTACTTATGAAACTGCTAAAGTATAGATAACCAAAAATGATAAAACTACTAGACCAAACTTTAAAATGCCATCATCTGACAGGCAACACAAATTGTATAATACTAGTTCAGTTCTGTCATTTCACTGACAGCAAAACAAACAAATTTCAAATCTAAATTGTTAATTTACATAAGGTAATTACATTTATTAGAAAATATATTCAGTTTAATTACTGGAGTTATAAAATGAGATCACAGTTTTGCACATTTCAGCTTATATACTTTTCTGTTACCCTGGTGTTGTTGCCAGAAAGAAAGGGAAATTAGCCCTTGTGACACAGATGTCCATTCCAGTTACATTCAAATAGTGTGTGTATGTGCATGTTTATTTTAATTCAATGATGGACCTAAAAAATATACACCCGCAAAATATTTTTTCTAAATCTTTAAGTAATTTTATTTATTACCAAATAATTAAAAAAAAAAAAAAATTTTTAATTATTTGATTTTTGAAAATTTAAAAGATTTTTTTTTTAAATTTCCAAATGATTTTATTGCTCAGCTCAAGGTAGGGTTGCCCAGACCGAATCAGAGGGTATGTATTATTCCCATGTCTTATTTCAAACTTAGCCAAATTGTGTGTGTGTGTGTGTGTGTGTGCATATATTAAGTAGCACAGCACCTGTAAGTCACTTACCCACAACACAGACATATTCATATTTTTTTTAACCATTTCACTGCAAGCAAGGCAATAAAACCACTAAGGCAAGGGTCTACCAAGTGTGAAAGATTTCTTTTAGTTGTTTGTGTTTAGTGGCATATCAACCACTACAGATTATTTAATGCCAAAATCTAAATATTTTGTGTGCAGTTTTATTTTATTTTATTTGAGATAATAATGGTTTTCGTGATACAAGTCTTACTAATTAACCCATAGCTGAAGGGAGAAGAAGTGGATTCATAACTTTCTCAAGGGTATTTGTGCACAAGTGAATATGAGGAACACAACTGAAACTTGGCTCTCCAATTTACAATTCTGAGCCATTATCCATTAAACCATCCACACATCCAAGCTTACAGCACCTGGTCTTTCTAAGCGGACACCCATCTAGGTACTGACAAGGCTTCATATTGTTTAACTTCAGTGATCATGCAGGAACCAGTGTTTCAATGTGATATAGCCATAAGCCGAATATGAAAGAAAAAGAAAACATTAGAAAATGAACCAAGAAGACAGTAGATAACAATTGACATTGCATTTAAATTTTTGAAGATCAAAGTTTCATCATTCTAAAATCTGATTATAAAAACGACCCTTCCACCACAAGCGATGACAGTCAGTAGAGTAGAGAACAGTAGAGTAGCAAATGGCAAGAGCTGTAGTAAAAAAGCCCAACCCTCATGTATCCTTATCCCTCCAGAAAATTGAAAACTGACAATCTCAAATGCTATCAACACCAAGAAAATTCTCAAAACGAGAAAAAACAAGCAAGCACAAACTTTTAAAGAAACAAAAGACTAAGAATATTTTAATTGTTTATGCTATTGCTGTAGATTTTAATTCATTTCTTTTTCAGTATAAAAAAAAAAATGTCAAAAAGATTCCTCTATAAACTGCTACTACAAATACATATAACAACAGGGTAACTAGGACAACACAAATCCCACCCCATTACAAGACCTTCCTGGCAATCTATTGATGTACTTAAATTCATAAAATCTAGGTACCATAGAACAATGCTTATCAGAACAATTACCATGAAAGTATTTATAGAAAAGGCACAGAGAAGCTATATTATGACAGTGGGAATCTGACTGAAGCTGAGATGCCAGATCAGGACCAATAGCATTGCAGATTCTTAAGATTTTATCAAGAATTTCTAAATATATAACAGGAGCACCAGATCAGATGTGACAGCAATATTCAAAGCATGGACAAATGGTAGGCTTGTGCATGCAAAGTCATATGCAAACAATGTGCAACAGATAATCACCTCTTCCTTTATGATATAGATTTCATGGCCATAGATTCAAGTACAGGGCCAAATGCTGGTAGGGAGGGTATCAATGGAGAGACAATCTTTTAAATGAAATGTTTTAAAAATTAACATTAAAGATTCTGACTTTTTACCTCTGCATAAAATACACAACTATCTCAGTTTTAATTTGATAACCACTTCATTCAAGCATGGAACAATTCCTAAACCAATTCCATCTTGGTAACTGAAATCAGATTGTGTAGGGTCAGAGTTATAGCTCCATGTCTGCAAGTATCTCTGGGTAGTTACCTACATCATGACTTTTTTTTTACCTGGAAGCATGCAAAAGATGTGTAGGTAGGATAAGTTATTAGCACAAAAGTGGATTTGGCAAACTACCCCCTACAAACAGAATTCAAGTTCTACACAAGTTTGAAGTGTCATTTTGCACTAATACTCTTGGAAAAGGCATGAGTACATTTTTTCTGTCTCCAACTGTGAGTAAAACAGAACAGTAGACATGGATCTCTCTCACTTCCGTGGCAGCAAATCTTGGAGAAGGAAAGCCCTGAATTAAAGACTAGAGAAAAAGCAATAGGAAACCATTTTAGTACTTGAATTAAAAACTCTTTTGTGAAAACTCATGGTAATTCCCAAATAACTAAAAAAAAAAAGAATCTCTTACAGGCTGAAGGTGCATGATATTTAAAAAAACAGAAAAAAATATGGAAAGCATATTATTGGGAAAAGATAATGCAAAGTATAATTATTATTGGAAACAGAAAATGCAAAGTAAAACCAAAAATGAAATCAGCAAGCCAAGTTCAAATTCTGATAGGGGCTGTTGTATTCACTCTGCATTAATACCTTAGAAAAAAAGCATGAACCCCTCTATTCTCCCCCCCCCGCCAGCTATGGTTAAAATAGTGAAATAAATGGGGGTTTTAGCCTTGGAAGACTAACCAGTATAGGAGTAGGAAAGCTTTATTAAAATGTAGGGAAAAAGCAATAGGATACTACTTTTGTACCTTTCAAAAAACCAGTCATAACAATTCACAGATATTGGGAGAGGAAAAAAAAAAAAAAGGAACCTGTGAAGAATTATGATCACCAAGAACTTTTCAGCATTCCTCATAATCACCTTGCTATAAGACAGTTCTTCTATTCCTTTCATACCCATCTGATCACACCCATTTATGTGTTTGTGAATGTTTGACCTTAGATTTAAGTTCAGTATAAAATTGAAGTTTTTTTTTTTTTAATCTTGAGATTTTTCTTTTGACAAAAATTCTGCTCAGATAATAAACTTTCTTAAATCATTATAGCACATCATTGTAATTGAGGTTGAAAGGTTTAAAATTCCATAATTTGCAGTCAGTTAACAAACAGCTGATGATTGCATAAAAGATTTTTTTTTCAGGTTAAAGTAAAGTGATCCTTTCTTCAAAATCAATAAAACATTTTTTTTTATTGTTATCACCCCAAGCAAGTCAGTAAAGCCATTAAGACACAAGAGGTTACAAAGTGTGGAGGAAGTAAGAATAGAAACATTAGTAATGAGCAGAAAGAGAAAAGAGCAATCAGACGGGCAGTAGATAGCAACTGACATTGCATTTAAATTTTTGCTGATTAAAGTTGGTTGGAAAGCATGGAACTTGAAGGGAGTTCCACGAATGAAAAATGTGAGAAAAGAAACTGTTAGAATAGAATTTATGGCTAAATCTAGCTAACTCAACTGTAAATTGATGAAATCTTGTTGCTAGTCTAGTACTGCACTTAAATTCAGACAGTTGAAGTACCTTAGTGAAGAGCTCATCCAAAAAATTACCATAAAAATATTTATAAAAAAGGCACATAAAGGCAAGCTTATAGCAGTGGGCAAGTGAATGAAGCTGATCTGTCAAATCAGGACCAATAATATTTCAGATTCTTCTTTGGATTTTAGCAAGAATCTCTAAATAAATAACACTGGCCATATATGACAGACTTATAGATATACAAGATAGATTCTGGAGAGAAAAGACACAGTGAATCAAATTTCTTAGCAGCTAACCTAGCAATGGATTCATATAGTCTTTCCACTTCATATCCACTGAGAAAAAAAATGTTCATATTCGCCTTTATTTTTTAATGTTATATCTCTTCAGGACATCGATAATCAGAAATCCCGACAAATTTTTTGCTATGATTTCTTTGGAGAACTAGTGGAGTTGTTTCCTGTTGCTTTCATCACAATTTTGAATCCGTAATCTTTCTCCTAGACTGGTTGCCACACATAGCTAAAGAAACAAGTCTGGTAGAGAATAGCTGAATTCATGCTTTCGCAATGGCAGATGTATGAAAGTGAATGTAACAATGTCACAGATTTCATTTTTCTGCGCCGGGAATCGTTATCATCCTCACACACTCGCAAGGGAGACAACTTGACTTAAAAGTTATTTTTTGTAGAGAAATTAATGTCAGGGTTTTGATTTATTAGGAGAAAAATGTATCTATTTTAGTTTGAAATAATAGCTATTTTTTTTTCTTTTGATTTTAACTTCTAAATTTTTAAGACAGACAACAATTCTCTTTAGCTTTATTACTTTAAAAAAGTGTTCTTAAAAACGAGATTATTTCTTTAAAAGGGAATGAACTCAAACTACCTAACTTGAAGTTAGTTTTAGTATTATGTTAGAGTTCTCTCCCTTAGTTATAAAGCAATTCGCAGGATATTTCTGATACTGATTCTTGCTTTATTTTTATTTATTTATTTTTTACTAATATTCACCCAATACAAGGCCCAAGAGCCTTGTAGAGGTTAGAGGATTACTATGTGGTGGTGTTGTATGAGCGTAAGAAAATGTAAACAGTGAAATTCGTGACGATGTGCAGGAAAAATAACAGTTAATCCTCAACTTGAAAATAATCAAGATTGCAGTGATTGGAGTCTGTTCCACGAAACAGAAGTTCTTGGAAAGAAGCTGTTCGAGTGAAACTTACTTCTTATTAATGGAATACGAAGTACATATCCCTGTGTACGTGGCATGGCAGGTCCCTATTGCAAAAACCAGGGCCATTGGGACCAAGGAATGTAGCTTGTCAAGACAGATGCCATAGAAATAGAGTAGCAAGAAGCTTGCAACATTCCATCTGCGGGAAAGCAGTTTTGGTTGAAAAATAATTCATCACCCATCTGTATGCTTTTGAACTCTATCAAGACAAGCAAGTGGGGACTGGTTCACTCCAGCCCAAATATGGCAGCAATACACAATTTTTGATCTGATCTGGCTCTTATAGAGTATAGCATGGGGAGTAAGATACTTACTGAAGTGGTACAATGAACTGACCATTTTTCAGCATTTTTAGTAATAGATCATATATATATGAAGTCTGTGGTGAGCTCGAGTTCCAATAGATATTCAAAATAAGGAGCTTCCTTGCGAGAACCACTCATCTATCATGATTGATAGGTGAAAGTTTAGGGTCTATTTTCAGGTCAACCTCTGTAAAATCAATTTTTAATCATTTTCATCTCCCACATTTTCTTGCATATAATTTTTAACAAAAAAGGTAAAAAGTGGGGGTCATATTATGCACAAATGTTTTCAGAAATTTTTACTCAGTTTAAAAAACCTCTTATTTAAAACCACACAATTTCAAATACACTCAGCACAATGGATAATAAAACACAAAGTAGACAGGTGTTTATAACAATTGTTTGCAAAAGGTATTTGATATGTCAGCCATATTTGTTCTTAGGGAATCAGTGTAACTGAATACCTTTTGTCACAAAGGAAGGAAATATACCAAAATTGATTAAAAATTAAGGGAATACACAAGATCTGCCATGTTTTGATAATATTAATCTTACAACAAAGGTCTAACGACTGCATAAATTATGTACTTATTTTTAGTTTTTTCCACTTGAAATGTGGGGCAATATTTCCCATAATGTGAGGCTGTTGTTTTATGTTCATCCATTTGTTGACATGTTTAAAATTAGAACAGTTTTGCTCACTAAACATTGTTTCCAAATCCAGATCCAGGACCTTCTCACTTCTATTGGAGGAGCCCCTTCCTGATTGGCCATGTTTTCAGGGGATTAGCCATATTCATCACACTTGGGTAATTTTAGGTTGGTAAGGCCATTTAACGCATAGTTAGGGTAGATAGCTGTCATGTCTGAGGAGTTCATCCACCCCTTAACAGCTCGTTTTTTTTTTTG